ATACTATATATATATATATATATATATATATATATATATATCCAATGGTCATGATCTTATTTTGTATTTGAATTTTCATTTTCTTTCTATAAATCCAAATTATATGAAATTTGGAGCGTCTATTTTTCAAAACTAGGAGGATCAAATAAAATATAAAACAAAAAATTCACAAAATATAAATTGACCAAAATTCTCCTGAAACTTTTTTAGGGTATTTTGGTCCACTTGTATTTCGCGAATGATTTTTTTTATATCTGTATTAGGTGCGCCTTGATAACAAGAATGAACATCTAAAATTTCAAGTTATTTGATTTGTAGAAAATAAAAATAAAAATTCAAATACGAAATGAGGTAATAACAGTCAAATCAGCCCAGATTCAATCTAGACTGTTGGCTGACACTGTAGCAGCTGACAGAATCCATTCCCTATATATATATGTATATATATATATATATATATATATATATATATATTTTATGGATTAAAGCATGAGAGAGAGAGATGGTGTGTAAAAATGCATATGTTGGTCAAAGATCATGAATACGTACAAATTGTGGGTCTATATATTATCATCATAAAAGCTTTTTCCCATCTAATTGGAGGTCGGCTACACGAATCATGGTCCACCATTCTGCTCTATTAAGGCTTATACCCTTAGTAAGGCCATAAGTCTTCATATCTTTTCTCACCACTTCCAACCATGTCCGTTTTGGCTTACGCCTCACCCTTTTTGAGTCTTCCACTTGAACTAACTCACACGTCCTAGCAGATGTTGTACTGGGTCTACGCCATATATGACCAGCTCATCTACGTCTACTTTATCTCATCTTATCGTCTATTGGTTCCATACTTAAATTCTCCCGAATGTATTTATTTCGACTTATATCCCTTCTTGTCTTGCCACTCATCTACCTCAACATCATTATCTCAGCTACATCATTCTGTGGATATGTTTTTTTTTTGACCACCCAATATTCCGACCCATAAAGTAAAGTCGGTCTTACAGTTATCCTATAGAACTTGCCCTTCAGCTTCATTGGTATGCGGCAATCACATGAAACTCCAGTTGCACATCTGCACTTCACCCACCTAATTCTAATTCCATGTGTGAAATCTTCCTCAATCTCTCTATTTTCCTAGATTATAGACCCAAGATATCGACCGTGCGCTCTTTTTGGTATTTTTTGGCCGTCAATCTTAACTACTTCCTCGTCTCTACTCTTATTATTACTACACGGGTGTGGTTTCCATAAGGTTGCAACCTTAAACAATCCAATTAAGGCACACCTTCAAATTTTATCATAACATATAATTTGTTATGTAAAATATTCTTAGCATTATCTCAAAATATATTTTCCTATCTAATTATAAAATTTTAAACTTTAAAAATGGTTAAAATCAAGTAGATCTATAAACATATGAAAATGTTGAAAATGGACAGTCTAGATAATTAAGATGCACTATTTCTAAGACTTGAAATCTTTTTTTTTTCCATAGTCATACATCTCGAAGTTGAGATGATCAATTAGAGGGTTTTTCAACATTAAAACAACTTTTTCCAATCGATTTTTAAGGTGCATCTGTAGTTCTACATTTTAAAGTTGCAACCTTATATAAACCTTTTCCTTACTACACTTGTATTCCATATATTCTGTCTTTGTCTTTGTAAAACATTTAGATTCTAGAACATCCCTCCAGAGTTGAAATTTTATATATATATATATATATATATATATTTTAGGTGTGTATTTTAATTTTTCTACAAATCCAAAGAGGTGTGTATTCTTCAAAAATAAGAGAATCTAATAAAAATATCAAAAAAATAATTTGCGAAAAATAAATTCACCAAAATACCCCTGAAAAGTTTCGAAGATATTTTGGTCAATTTATTTTTTTTGAATTAATTTTTAAATATTTTTATTAGGTGCGCCTTGATGAGAAGAATGGACGCTTAAAATTTCAAGTTACTTGGATTTATAGAAAAAAAAATTAAAGTTCAAACACGAAATGAAGTCATGACCGTCAGATCGGCCCAGATTCAATCTAGGCCGTTGGGCTCATATGTTCATATGAGCTAGTGCGCTAATCTTAACATTTTTCAATATATATATATATATATATATATATATGGGTTATTCTACCTTTCACACCCCTCGAAAAACAATAAGTCACATTTAGAGAGGAATGTGAATAGTAAATTTACATAAAATATCCTACTCATAAATTTTTTAATACAAAATTAAAGGGCATCTTAGTCAATATTTTTAAATTAGGAGCCAAACTATGAAAAATGGTTTCAGTTTTGATGTTAAAAGTCAATTAACTGTTTATCATCCATTTTCTCTACCCTTCTCCAAAACTCACCAAACCCTCCCTCACTGTCAACCTGCAACCTCCCCAAACTCTCTCTCTAGATTCCCTCTCTCCCTTTCTCTCAATACACCACTTCAATCTCCAAGGACTTTCTTCTCCAAAACTCACCAAACCCTCACTCACACTCAACCTGTAACCACCCTCACTCTCAACTTTCTCTCTCTAGAATCCCTCTATACCTCTCTCTCTTGCTCTTGCCTAACTGGTCATCATGGTGTCATGCGGTTCATAGGCATTTAAGGTCTTGGAATTGTTTCCCTGCTTTGGCGCCCCGGATGCACTGCCCGAGACTCTCTATTCTAAAAAATACAGCACATCAATCTCCAATGCTTTTCCTTCTCCAAAACTCACCAAACCATCCCTCACGCTCAACCTTCAACCTCCCCCAACTTTCTCTCTTTCAAAGCTCTTTCTCCTTTTTGTCTCACTCTCGCCCCAATACACCACTTCAGTCTCCAATGCTTTTCTTCTTCATCTCCTCTCTCTAACTACCTTCTACAGCCCCACTCCTTAAAATGGGTGCCACATTTGGCTGCAAATATCCGACCCCCAAAAAACATCACCTAGGTCTTTTTACAGCATAAGCCCAATGGACTAGACTAAAGGAGAGGGGGTGGTCACAGTCGAGAAGTGCAGAAGGCAAATGCACTTTGGCCAACAATTTTCTAGCCCATCCATTTCTTATCTTTATTTGGAGGGCCTAATAGAGGCGCAAACGTGTGCAAACCATATTTTGGAAACAAAGATATAAAAAAAATTAACACAAAAAGGTGATTGTTCATTTATGGATCCTTCAATTTGGGTCATTGGGCTTATACTATTCCGAAGCCTGGAAGAGGGAGAGAATCTTTCTAGCAATAAAGCGTATAGAGAAACTCTTATAAAAGAGGACATGACAGAGAAGAGTTGTTAAGAAAGAAACTACCCAATATATAAGAAAGTCTTTTATTCTGCAACATAGGTTTTCATGGAAATAAGGAAAGAGAAAAAATAACTAAAGAAATAGAATTAAAGAAGAAAGAGTGCAAGTATAAACTCTGGGAGGTGTTTGATATTCAGGCGAATAATATGCACACAAGAACTATAAGAAAGACATATTGCATGCACATATTTATAGAAGGCATTTGAGCTGTCCGGCGAACTGGAGAAAAGTGTCTTTGTATAAGAAGATAGTTGAGATTTGTTACTAAGACTATTGGAATTGGCTTACACAGAAATTTTAGGAGGTTTTGAGGAATCAAATTGAAGGGCTAGGATTGCCTCTAGTGACCCACAAACACACACTCAAGGCAATATATATTGAGAGAGAGAGAGAGAGAGAGAGAGGAAGACAATTATAGAAGCATCACTTACCCCAACATTTGTAACATATTGACATACTGCACATTTGACTGAAGGCGATCCATAGGGGTACATAAGAGTTACATGACACCTCCCACAGCTCACATGAGCAACAGGATAAGCTGCTTGATACGCATTAAATTTTTCATAATCAGCAAAACCGAACAAGTCGAGAAGGAAAAGAAAGGGAAAAGGAAAGAAGTGGAGAGAGAGAGAGAGCTATGATGCCATTTACAGCTAGGTTACTAATTTTTGTCATCCGACATTCATTCTTGAAATATCCAACATGGACATTTTTTTAAGTATCCAGCATGGATATGGCACCCATTTATATATATTATTATATATACATATATATATATATATATATATATATATATATATATATATAGAGAGAGAGAGAGAGAGAGAGAGATTTGTTCACCACAAAAGTGCATATAGTAAAACTATAGCACATGCAGACATCATTGTTTTGACTTCAAAAGAATAAGAATATAGCAGAACTTGTACCTTCTCGTGCAATATTTATTGTATGACAGCATGAGCATCGAACACTAGATGCTCCACGAGTATACATAAGCAGTTTACGACAACCCCCACAAATAAGCTGAGCCATTTCCATCCCTGGATATTCTAACAAGTTAAACACAAGATATTTCCACCTTTTTTTTTTTTTGGGAAGTGAATACCAAATTCTTATGGCATGAGAAACCACAGAGAAGCAACCAGTTGAAGAAAAAAAGCATCTAAAGATAATGGTAGAATGGTTCCACAACAGTATTAAGAACAATTATCCAAGAACCTTGTAATGTCCAACATAGCAATGACATTGAGTCACCTCACTTACTCGTTTTCCTTTTTGGTTTGGATAAGAAATCACTATAAAGTCAATTGATGGATGCTTTTAATGCAAGACACTGGAAAAATTCAGTTCCATTAGGAGAGTTCTAAAAAAGCAAAACTGGATTAGAAAATAACTGGCTTGAACCGCCAGCATAGCTCTGACCTTAACTCTTTAATGGAGATACAAATTAATGTCAGATGACAAAAAAGAAAACTGGAATAGTAAATAACTGGCTAGACCAGAAAAGAAATAAAAAACGTATGGTGTTAAGATATTTAAACACCTAAATGCATCTCTAACTTGTGATCAGTAAGGGTACTCAATCTTGTCAATCAAGTTAGCTTGGGAAAAGCGGATGTTGCATAGACATGGGTAACTCTCCAAATGGACATGCAACATCTGTTGTTCCCAAGCTAACTTGATTGACAAGTATGACTACACTCACCGATCATGAGTTAGTGACACATTTTAAGTGTTTAGATATCTCAGCACCATACCTCTCTTTTTTCCCCCTTATCTAGCCCCTGACGACTGGTCATAACAGCATTTACCAATGCAACATCTGACATTGCTGAGTGCTGCTACAACCACTCATAAGGTGCTCAGGAAAAATTTATGAAACTGTAAGAGTATTAGACGGAGAGTGATGATCACCTACAAACTTATCAGAATTAAGAGGTCTTAAGAAGTTTTAAAACTGTACAGCATATATAATAGTTGATGTAGACCCCGAACTATGATCTCTCATGTTGTTAGACTACCAAACAAACAAATAAATGAGTTCTCCATTAAAGGGTCAAGATTTACATATACAAGGAACAGTCGGGCACAATGTCTCTGACGGAGGGGGGGGGTTGGTGAGGGCACCCTGTCTCTGGGCACCTAGGCGACAAGGAATCCAAAACGCCTAGGCGGCAGTGTCCGTTTTCTTGAACATTGATAGAATCCAAAGCTTAGATTTCGCAAAACAGTCAAAAATCTCGGATTTGCAAGATTTTGACAATAGAGTGTATGCCAAACAAATCGAAGCGACCCTATGTACATATGGAAATGAGCTTTTAATCATTTTTCATTTGGTATACCTTTTTTACTATTTTCTATTTTTCCTGAATTTTTCCAAATCATTAGGGATTTTAGCTTTTTTAGGGACTTGGGCTGGAATTGTTGAGCTGACTCGCTCAGGGTGCTAGCTGAGTCCCGATGCCAGTCCTGGTTTTTGAGGACTGCCTCAACAAAGGGAGAGTGAAACTAAACAAAAATGATGATAATAATAAAACAATCTGACATTCAACTTCAAAGTGTTTCGAGCATTCGCCAACTTTGATGCTATCTTTAAGGCATTCAGAACTTATCCATGTCTTGGTGCAAGACAACGCAATAAAATGACTTAGTAATTCAAGGACGCAACAATACTCCCGAAGGGGTAGGCCGGAATGCAAGGGTTGCTATTCCAAAATGGATGGAAACAGGGTTTTAACCATCTATGATCCAGATAAAAATCGACACGGCCAGTCTGGTTCTCGCCACATATCAAGAACCGGCTGATTATTTACCCCCATGAATCAGCCGATTCTATCAAAAACTGGCCACTCCTGTCAAGAACCGGCTGATTCTGCCAAAACAGAACCGGCCAGTTCTATCCTTAAACAGCCCACCTTTTTTTTAATGGTAAAAGAATTTCTTTTATTTCTTGAAAATGCCTTTTTAACATCCTTTCTTATGTCTTTTTTTTTTTTAATGCACCGGGGGCCACATCTTTGTGAGGGGCCCCACACTGAACTCATAACAAGGAGCAGCCTGCCGATCAAGTGAAGAAAACATCTTGTACCTCCTTTTTATAAGTCTCAGCATCCCAAATCCTACACCCACTTACCGATGTGGGACTAAACTTAGTAGCCTTGCCATCTTTTCTCCTCTAAACTAAGACAAGTAGAAACGCGTTTATGCAAATATTATAGCATAACGTAGATAGAGGGAGAGAGAGAGAAAGACTCATTCATAGCCACTTTTCAGGCCATAATTTTCAACTCTCTCATGTTGGTAAAATTTCAAGATGGCTCGTTGCACTTCCCATCAATATTATTGTGAAT